CTGCGTATCTCAGTAACAAAGATTATTGCTTTGTGTTCTCAGGGCTGATAGGTTAAGCACCTCACACAGACAATTAACTCTCCAAAGGCCGGGTTTCCGGGTGGGGCGATGCTGAGGAAGAGAGCTGAGGCCCTGGGCCTCAGACCTGGGGGACAGGGACACAGAGAAGGGGGATGGCAGTGGGTGGGCCTCAGCCCTGCCACGCCAGCCAGGCCACTGTTCATGAAGGCCCCACGCCCGGAGCCTCTCTTTTTCCTAGAAGGGGGCTCTGTGGTGAGGGGCTGCCAAGGGACACTGGCTGTGGGGTCATCCTGGTGGGGAACGTCAGTGAGAGAATGTGGGGGTTCCCTGAGACGCCCTTTGCTTTCCCCTAGGGGCTGCCCTCGCCAGAGCGTCCCCTGGTGCCCACTCATGGCGGGGGTCGAGGGGGAAGGGGGAGAGGCTCAGAGCAGAAACCACGAAGACCCAACCTAGGTAGGGGCAGGGGAGCCCTTTGGAGAGTTAATTCCCGTCCAGCAGTGTCTCGGGCAAGCCTTTCTCTTCCCGCGCCCTTCGCCCCCACATCGGGTTTTTGGGGTGGGCAGGCCCAACCAAGGCCTTGACCCCGAGGGCCTGAGAGAGCGGGCCTGCCGCGGCCACAGCTGAGGCCTGCAAGCTTACAGTAACGGTGTCTGAGGGGACAGAAACAAGGGAGGGGGGAGCCCCTCACCCCCAAGGGCCTTCGAGAGGGGTGGGCGCATCACCTCACAGTATTTACATATGATACAGGACGGGATGGTTCCAGGGGCTCGGCCTGACCTCCCCGCAGCCCTGCCCTCCTCTCCAGGGCTGGAGGGAGGCGGCCAGGGGCCCACACCCAGATAGATACTTTGTTCTCAGCTGGTGGGGGGCACCTGGCCCCTTGCCCCCTGCGGCCTGGGGCTTCACATTCACAAACCTAAAAATAGTTTAAAAACAGTTTCTTTTTTAAAAAAAAAAAAAAAAAAAAAAAAAAAAAAAAAAAAAAAAAAAAAAAAAAAAAAAAAAGGAAAGAGCAAAGGAGGGGAAAATCAGAATAAAAAACAGGGGTTGGCCTGCGGCCTGTAGCAGGCTCCCTCGCCTTCACTCTAGCTATGCACAAATCCAAAGCCTGTTGGGGAGGGGGCGGTCCTAGGGGGACGAGGCAGCGAGGGAGGGGCGCAGACCCGAGAGGGGTGGACCAGAGGGCTGGGGGGGCAACCGGCTAATCCAAAATAAATAAAAGCGGGTGGGGCCGGGAGAGGGGCAGGTAGGGCCGGGGCGAGGGCGGAAGAGGGGGACGTTAGTAAGGGAGCCAGACGCCGTCGGGGGCGGCAGGGCAGGGGCCGGGCCCGGGGAGTGGGGGGCAGGCAGTAGCGGGTCCGAGTCGCTGCGGGGGAGGGGGCGGCGGCTGCGGCTGAGGTCTCCCGCCCCCTGGCTGGCTCACTCGCGGTCCTCAGTCAGTTGCAGGCTGGGGCGCTGGGAACACAGCGGGGAGGTTATGGGGGCTCCCGGGACACGCGCAGCTTTCCCCAGTTCCCTCTAAGGAGCTTTGTTCGCTACCCACTTTCTTTGCTTTGCTTTTTTTTTTTTTTTTTTTTTTTTTTGGAGATGGGAGTCTGGCTAGAGTGCAGTGGCGCGACTTTGGCTCACTACAACTTCCACCTCCCAGGTTCAAGCGATTCTCCTTCCTCAGCCTCCGGGATTACAGGCATGAGCCACTGCGCCCGGCTGGCTAATTTTTGTATTTTTAGTAGAGACGGGGTTTTGCCATGTTAGCCAGGCTGGTCTCGAACTGCTCACCTCAGGTGATCCAGCTGCTTCAGTCCCCCGAAGTGCTAGGATTACAGGCGTGAGCCACCGCGCCTGGCTACTTTATTATTTTTTTAGAGACAGGGTCCGGCTCTGTTGCACAGGCTGGAGTGCAGTGGCAGCGGTCATAGTTCACTGCAAACTCAACCTCCTAGGCTCAAGCAATCCTCCTGCCTCAGCCTCCTGAGAATCTGGGATTACAGGTAGTATCTAGGACTACAGGTGAAGGCAAACACACCCTGCTCATTTTTGTTGTTGTAGCAGAGATGGGGATTCACCATATTGCCCAGGCTGGTCTCAAACTCTTGGCCTCAAGACGTCCTCCTGCCTTGGCCTCCCAAAGATCTGGGATTATGAATGTGAGCCACCACACCCAGACAGACTTAGCACATTCTGTTCCCCGATTGGATGGCTCTTTCCCCAGATTTTGAATGGCTGGATTTATTCAAATGTCACCTTCTCAGAGATACCTTCTCTGAACCCCACATCTAAAATAACCCTCTCACGCACATTCTGGAATTATCGCATATATTCACTTGATTTTTGTCCTGTGAAATAGAGAGGAATTTGTCTGTCTTGCTCATCCCTCTTTCCTGGAATAGGGCTCATAAATGAATGGGTGAATGAATGGTCTCGTCTCTCATAACTGGATAGACCCTGTGATGGCCATGTACACAGTCCCACAAGTCAAGGTATCCTGTTTTTTTTTTTTTATTATTATTTTTTGAGATGGAGTCTCACCCTGTTGCCCAGGCTGGAGTGCAGTGGCCTGATCTTGGCTCACTGCAGCCTCTGCCTTCCAGATTCAAGTGATTCTTGGCCCTCAGCTTTCTGAGTAGCTGGGAGTACAGGTACGCACTACCGTGCCAACCAAGTTTTGTATTTTTAGTAGAGATGGGGTTTCACCATGCTGGCTAGACTGGTTTCGGACTCCTGACCTCAGGTGATCCGCCCGCCTCAGCCTCCCAAAGTGCTGGGATTACAGGCGTGAGCCACCAGGCCCGGCCAAGGTATCCTGTTTTGATAGCTGTATACTACACCACTGTACACATAATCCCAGCACTTTGGGAGGCTGAGGCAGAGGAGGATTGCTTGAGCCAGGAGTTCAAGCCAACCTGGGCAACATAGTGAGATCCCATCTCTATAAAAAATTTAAAAAACACTAGCCGGGCATGGTGGCATGCTCCTGTGGTCCCAGCTACTCGGGAGGCTGAGACACGAAAATAGTTTGAACGCAGGAGACAAGGTTGCACACTGCACTTCAGCCTGGGTGACAGTGAGACTGTCTCTATTAAAAATAATAATAATAGGGCTGGGTGCAGTGGCTCACGGCTGTAATCCCAGCACTTTGAGAGGCCAAGGAGGGCAGATCACTTGAGGTCAAGAGTTTGAGACCAGCCTGGCCAACATGGTAAAACCTTGTCTCTACTAAAAAAAAAAAAAAAAAAAAAAAAAAAAAAAAAGCAAGAAAAAAAAAAAAAAAAAAAAAAAACCCGCAAATTAGCCAGGCATAGTAGCACATGCCTGTAATCCTAGCTACTCGGGAGGCTGAGATATGAGAATAGCTTGAATCCAGGGGACGAGGTTGCAGTGAACCAAGATTGCACCATTGCACTGTAGCCTGGGCGATAGAGTGAGACTCCAGCTAAAAAAAATAATAATAGGTCGGGTGCCGTGGCTCACATCTATAATCCCAGCACTTTGGGAGACCAAGGCAGGAGGATCCCTTGAGTCCAGGAGTTTGAGACCAGCCTGGCCAATATGGTGAAAACCCCATCTACTAAAAATACAAAAATTAGCTGGGTGTGGTGGCATGGGCCTGTAGTCCCAGCTACTCGGGAGGCTGAGGCAGAAGAATCGCTTAAACCCGGGAGGCGGAGGTTGGAGTGAGCTGAGATCGTGCCACTGCTCTCCAGCCTGGGCAACAGAGGGAGACTCCACCTCAAATAATAATAATAATAATAATAAAAGATCTTAAAAAATCTTTGTGGCCTGGCCTGGTGGCTCACACCTGTAATCCCACCACTTTGGGAGACCAAGGCAGGAGGATCCCTTGAGTCCAGGAGTTTGAGACCAGCCTGGGCAACACAGTGAAACCTTGTCTCTACAAAAAAAATTAGCCAGGTATGGTGGCGTGTGCCTGTAGTCCCAGCTACTCAGGAGGAGTCTGAGGTGGGAAGATCCCTTGAGCCCAGGAGGCCTGGGTAATAGAACGAGATCTTGTCTCAAAAATAATAATAAGAAGAAGAATCATTGCCAATCTGATAGGCGGAATGTGAAGCTGTACTGTTGCTTTGCTTTCTGTGTTTAAATGGAGTAGGTTGAGCAGCTTTTCATGTTTACTGACCACAGCTGCTATAAAGATCTGTCTCCCCTGGGACTGTGGGTTCTTGAGGGCAGGGATGGGGCCCATGTCCCAGATTCAATGGCCCAGGACAGGCTTCCTCAGTGCTACCCTGCCACCCACCCCTCCCCACATCCTCACCTCCTGCCACCGTCCCCTGCTTCAGTGGTACCCATTGGTGAAGGCTGTGGCAATCAAAGGGCCCTGAAAAGGAAAGAATTTGACTCCTAGACTCCTGGGAAAGTAGAGAAAGGCCAGGGGCTCCTTCTCTCTCTGCAGGAAATCCGCGGTGAGGCGCAGGCCCCTCTCTACCGGCCCGGATCACCCCCAGCGAAGGTCTGCTCAAAGATTCTCCAACAGAGGGCCAGGGAATCTGCACATAACCAGCACCCTGGATAAAACCAGGGCACCCTGGGCTGGAATTGAACCTCCTTGCAGGCAGAGATACCATATGCCTCATTTGCACCTAGAGCCCATTATGCCTGGCATTCAGAGGTGATGACTAAGTGTCCACTGAATGAATGAGAGACCCCACTGTTCTTCCGTAGTGACTCCGTTCATCCTCCCCCACCCTCCTTTTGCCCCCAAAGACAAAGATGGTCTCTCCCTTCCCCAACTTGGGGGTCTCTCAAGGTGTGAGGGGTGAGGTGGGGGCCACCAGGCCTGGCCACTCACCCCAAGACTGTGGCCGAAGCCGGTGCTGGGGGCGGGGCTGGCAGCGCTGATGTAACTGCTGACCCCCGAGTCCTGGTTTGCCGCCCCGTAGAGCTCGGCCATGGGGCCGGGGCTGGTGGTCCCCAGGAAGCCCCCTGTGCGGCTGGGAGTCGAACCTGGAGGGGGAGCCATCGTCCAGGGGTGAGAGCCTGGCAACCCAGAAAGAAGACAATGATAGCCCCGGCACCCTCTGCCACCCCACGGCACCCACCAAGCCTGTCCCACCTGCTCTAGCCTGGACCCCCACATTTCAGCAACTCCTGTGGGCCTATCTCCTGGAGATCTCCCCACACCCATCCACCCAGTCACCCCTAGCCCTGACCCCCATCATCTCATCTGACCACTCAGCAGCCTCCTCTCCCAAGGCCCTTCCCAACCTCTCCCCACCTGGCAGCTGAATGCACGTTCTAAACCCTGACCTGCGTCCCTCTGCTACTTGTAATTTCCACTGTTTCCCCAGCACCCCAGTTCCTCCTGCCTCCTTTCTCCACTCCCCACTTCGGCACTCTCCCCACCTACTGGTCTCCAAGCCTTTACATAAGCTATTCCCTCAACCAGAAACATTGTTCCTCCTCTTTGCCTTTGAATGCAAAGTTAGGAGGCCCTTCCTCCTGGAAGCCTTCCCGGCCTTTCCTAGAGGCCCCAGCTGAGAGGTCCTCTGGTACCAGATACCCCCTGAGAGCAGCAGCATCAGCCATCAGCATTATTGCCTTTTTAATACCTGACGCCACCACCAGGCTGCAAGCCCTGGAAGGCAGAGACCCTGTCAGTCTTTTTTTTTTTCTTTTTTTGAGATGGAATTTCGCTTTTGTTGCCCAGGCTGGGGTGCAATGGCACGATCTCGGCTCACCGCAACCTCTGCCTCCTGGGTTCAAGTGATTCTCCTGCCTCAGCCTCCCAAGTAGCTGGGATTACAGGTGTGTGCCACCACGCCCAGCTAATTTTTGTATTTTTAGTAGAGACAGGGTTTCTCCATGTTGGTCAGGCTGGTCTCTACCTCCGACCTCAGGTGATCCATCTGTCTTGGCCTCCCAAAGTGTTGGGATTACAGGCGTGAGCCATTGCGCCTGGCCATCTTTTTTCTTTTGAGATGAGGGAGTCTTGCTCTGTTGCGCAGGCTGGAGTGCAGATACGTGATCTCAGCTCACCGCAACCTCCACTTCCCAGGTTCAAGCGATTTTCCTGCCTCGCCCTCCCGAGTAGCTGGGATTACAGGCGTGCACCACCACACTCGGCTAATTTTTATATTTTTAGTACAGACAGGGTCTCACCACAGTGGCCAGGCTGCTCTGGAACTCCTGACCTCAGGTGATCTGCCCACCTCGGCCTCCCAAAGTGCTAGGATTACAGACGTGAGCCACCACGCCCAGCTGAGCCTGTCAGTCTTGCTGCTGGCTGACTTGCTCATGCAACATAACGCCCAGCACAGAGCAGGTCATCGGTTGATACTTGAGTGAATGAACAAGTGTCCCTCTGCAAAGGGGTGGCAGTGGCCACCTCCCCTCCTCTGGACTTCTCTGATCCCTGTGCTTCCTCATCTCTCTTCCTGCACCCCAGGGAAGCTCACCTGTCCCTCGAACCACAGCTGCTGCGGCCGCCGCTGCCGCCATTGGTCCGTAGGCAGTGAGAGGAATGGCTGAAAGGAAAGGGATGGGCACGTCAGTGTGGTGGCGAGGGGGGAGAAGGGTGAAGAAGGCCCTACCTTCTAGGCAGAGCCTCTCTAGCCTGGCCCTACCTTGGAGGGGTCCATGTAGCCCCAGGGTCAAGGCAGAAAAGGCTACCATGGGCCACCATCTGTGTTCTGACCCGTGGCATGGATGGAGAAAGGTGGGCAGGAGGACAGCTTCCCAGTGAGCAGCTGAGCCTCAGTTTCTCCCCTGGACTGCTCATGGAGGGTGGGGCAGGGCACCCAAGCCTGAGCAGCTATGAAGGTTGCCCACAGCTGCCCCCTTCTCCAGGGTGCCCTTGGTAAAACAGGGGCCACTTGGCCCAGAGATGCCCAAGAGCTCATGTCCCTCTTCCCAGCCCAGCCAATGACGGTTAGTGACGGAATGACACAGGGGACAGCCCCCCAGGTCTGCTGCCTCCAGGTAGGGTGCCCCAGGGGTCAGGCTGAGGCTGGGCTCCCACTGAGGCCATAGCTTTGCACCACACCCTCTGCTGACTGTCCTGCTTCCCTCACCCCTGTCCCCTGAAAGCACTCCCAAGGGCCTCCCTGACCACCCAGAAATGACCGCTGCCTCCCCCGAATTCCCCCAGCCTCTTTTTTGCCATCGCCTCTTCAGATACAGGCACTATCCCCTTGTTTTCTGTCTGCCATCATCTTCACCTCTGCAGCACCTAGAACCCTGCCTTGTACACAGCAGGTGTTTAATAACTGCTGAAGGAGTAGAAAGGGTCTCTGCTTAAAACACCCAGTGGCTTGAGCCTGGAGCTCCCCAGGGCTGAGAGGTGAGCACCCCCTGCTGAGAGTCTTTCCTAAAAACGTCATTCAGTGGGGGCTCTTTCTCACTTAGATGTCACCTCCTCTAAGAAGCTTTTCCTGATACCTCCACTAAGGCAGCCCCTTGTCCCCAACCCTCATGCCTTAGCACATTTCCCTGCTTTAATTTCCTCATGGAACCTCTCACCCTCCAAAAATATCTTTTTAAAAAAATTATTATTTTTTTAAAGACAGGGTCTTGCTATGTTGCCCAGACTGGTCTCGAACTCCTGACCTCAAGCTATCCTCCAGTGTTGGCCTCTCAAAGTGTTGGGATTACAGGCATGAGCCACAGCACCCAGCCCAAAAATATTACTTGCTTTGGGAATACTTGGGGAATCTTTCCTTGTTTACCTGATTTTAATTTTTTTTGAGACAGAGTCTAGCTCTGTTGCCCAGTCTGGACTGCAGTGGCATGATCTCAGCTCACTGCAACCTCTGCCTCCTGGGTTCAAGTGATTCTCCTGGCCCAGCCTCCTGAGTAGCTGGGACTACAGGCATGCACCACCACACCTAGCTAATTTTTAAAATATTTTTAGTAGAGATGGGATTTTACCATGTTGGCCAGGCTGGTCTCGAACTCCTGACCTCAGGTGATCTGACTGCCTCAGGTTCCAAAGAGCTGGGATTACAGGCATGAGCCACCACAGCCAGCTAATTTTTGTATTTTTAGTAGAGACAAGGTTTCACCATGTTGGCCAGGCTGGTCTTGGACTCCTAACCTCAAGTGATCTGCCCGCCTCAGCCTCCCAAAGTGCTGGGATTACAGGTGTGAGCCAGTGCGCCCGGCCTGTTTACTTGTTTATTGCTGTCTCCTTCCTCTGGAATATCAGTTCCAGGAAGGCAGGAACCTTGTCCATCTCATTCACTGTTGTGTCTCCAGTGCCTCGAGTGGTGTCTGGCACAATGAAAATTATTGAGTGCATGAAAAACCACCCAAGTCTCCTTTTCTCCAAGGCGGGAAAAGTTCAGAGCCCAGATGCCCAAGCACTGTTGATCCTTGAACCTCCTCCTTTGCCTGCCAAGATATATCTAAAGGGGACATCTCTTCTGTCATTTCTTTAAGGCCAGGGACTGGGCTCTGAAGTCTGGTTTTTGGCTCACTTAGGCATTTCCACGAAGTCAAAGGCACCAACCCAAGCATGCACTTACCACACTGTAAAGAATGACTTATTTCTACAGTATTTGCGCCCTCTGTAAATTGCGAGTTCTGTGAGGTCAGGGCCTGCCTCTGTCTTATCCTTGCTCTGTCCCCCAGGTCTGTCAGAGCATCTTGTGCACAGTAGGTCCTTAACACATAGCACTCTGTCGTTCAGGCTGGAGTGTGGTGGTGCAATCTTGGCTCACTGTAGCCTTCACCTCTTAGGCACAAACAATCCTCCCACCCCAGCCTCCCAAGTAGCTGGGACCACAGGCACGCACTGCCACACCTGGCTAGTTTTCTTATTTTTTAGTAGAGATGGGTTTCACCATGTTGCCCAGGCTAGTCTTGAACTCCTGGCCTCAAGGGATCCTCCTGCCTTGGCCTCCCAAAGTGTTGGGATTACAGGCATGAGCCACGGCGCCCAGCACACATAGTTCTTAAACGAGTAATGAGGGCCTCCTTCCAGCCTCCACCCCCACAGTTACTGGTCAAGCTCTCCCTCTTTTCAGGGAAGAGCCTCTGCACCTGCACCTCTAGCGTTCTCCTCCCTCCCCTTCCTTCACTCCAGGTTTCTCTTCTTCTGCCCCATTTTGGGGGAACCCTGAGCACCCCTTGGAAGGAAAGTCTTATCTAAAGCAGTATCCATGCTCACGTCTTCCACACATGGCCAGGTTGAGGGGAGAGTCTGGGTGGGGTGGGGGAGAAGCAGGTGGGACAGAGAAATCCCTTGCAGCCCACCCCACGTGCCTGCTGTCTCCTCGGCTCACGGCTAGCCCCAAAGCTGAACTGGCTGGCCTGAGGGAAGGTTCCAGCCAGGGAAACGGGCCCCTGTCACCTTCACCCACTTGCCCAGAAATCACCCGAGGGCTGGATTCAGGCCTTGGCAATATTTCATTTGGCTCATGGTGTTTTAAACATTTGGAATCTGTTGCCAACACTGAAAAATAATGGAAAAATTCATACGAAAGCAAAAGCCAGGTTTCTGGCATCTCTGGAAAAAAATGAGTTCTGAGCATAGTGAGTCTGTATTCCCTCCCGGCAAGAGTTGGCTGGCACCGAGTGCAGGTATGCCCACGCCGGTGTGCAGGCATCCCTGCCCGGCCCACTTCGCAATGAGTTTGAGACCCTGGCTTGTTCACTGCAGGATCCCAGAGCCTCCATGGAGCCTGGCACATGGGAGGTGCTAGATAAATATTTGCCAAATGGATGAATGAGTGACTTTGCCTCCATCTGCTTGGCTTGGCCCTATGCCCCACCCTTAAGGGCCATGTCGCCGCCCAGACTGGCCAGTGCCCAGGCACAGTCTGCTGTTTCCCCACAGCCGGAGGGCTGGCGGGCAGGAGAAAAGGATCCCGCTAGCTTTCCCCAGGAAGCTCCCTGGGCCCCTTCTCTTTCTCCCCATGTGGCCTGAAAGGTATACAAAATCCGAGCGACTGACCTGTAAGCTCGGGGAGGACTGGGGCGCTCGGGAGAGGGGTCCGCTCTACACGGAATTCTAAAATGAAACGTAAAACAGCTTAGGAAGAAGCAGGGGAGGCCCCTCGGCCATGGCCCAGGGAGGACAAATGCACCCACAGGGACACTGGGTGAGGAGACAGGCCATGCACGGGACCCAAGAGCTAGGGAGGGGACAGCACAGCTCCCAGCAGGCAGGGAAGGGCAAGGAGACAGACACAGAGAAGGGAGAGAGAGAGAGAGCAGAGTTGCCACCTATACCCCAGGCACGGGGCAGGGCTGGATTCCAGGTGTTTGTTTCCTTCTTTTCTTTTCTTTTTCTTTCTTTCCTTTTTTTTTTTTTTTTTTTTTTTATTGTGTTTTCTATCTTTTCCTTTTTTTTTTTCTTTTTTTTTTTTTTTTTTTTTTTTTTTAAGACAGGGTCTCACTCTGCTGCCCTGGCTAGAGTGCAGTAGCATGAACACAGCTCACTACACACTCGACCTCCTGGGCTCAAGTGGTCCTCCCACCTCAGCCTCTTGAGTAGCTGGGACCACAGGCACACACCATCATGCCTGGCTAACCTTTCCATTTTTTTGTAGAGACAGAGCCTCACTATGTTGCCCAGGCTGAGCTCAAACTTGTGGGCTCAAGCCGTCCTCCCATCTGCCTCTCAAAGTGCTGGGATTACAGGGGTGAGTCACCATGCCCAGCCGCGGGTGTCTCTAAAAGGCTTAGGATTGTACCAAAAACATCTCCCAGAATCCTCCTCTTCTCATGTGTGTATGTATGTGTGTGTATGTGTGTATATATGTGTGTGTATGTGTGTGTATATATGTGTGTGTGTATGTGTGTGTGTGTGTGTGTGTGTTGCGGAGGAGGCAGCCTGATGAAAAGTGATGGCCCTAGAATAGGTAGAATAGGTCAGGCTTGGGTTCAGGTCCCAGCTCTGCCACTTCCTAGCTGGCTCATCTTAGCTTGCCATTCTTCCTCTCTGAGCCTATGTCCTCATCTCTAAAATGAGGAGACGCAGGCTTCCTCCGTGAGATTATTTGGAGAATTAGGCAACATTACGAACACAAAGTTCTCCAAGCTCAACAGCCCTGGGGCAGAGCACGTAAGTGCTTAGGGGGCCCTCCAAATAAATAAGATACTAAATAAATAGCCTTGCCTAAGTTTGGTATTTCCTGTTTCAAAGAAAACCGCATTGAATAGTCCTCATGGTGAAGTCCAGAGCTTTGCTGGGCTTCCTGACAGTAACACCAGGTCTGGTGTTATCTTTACGTTGGCTTACAAACGAGAGTGGGAATGATCCTGCTTCTCAATTGTTTTTCAGCATCTGGGGTCTCAGCATAGTACTGTGTCTGAACTTGAAAGGGCTTAGCCTAGAGCCTGGTCATTCTAGGAGCTCGTGATGATGCAACCAACAGCGGCCCTCGGAGAGGCCCCCACTACAAGCCTGATGCCCTCTCTGGTGGAAGTGGCAACCCTGGAGTTGGGTGGGGAGGAGAGACAGGCAGGAGGCAGGCAGAAGATGGCCTGGGAGAGAACGGTGCCATGCAGGGCCACGCTGGGAGCTCCTGTCCCCAGCTTCTGGGGAGGGGATGGGGGGATGGGTGGGGAGAGGCCCTCCTTCCTCAGACATGCCCTTCCTTCCAAGCCTCCAGCAGGCAGACCCCCAGCCATGCACCCCCAGACACCACCCTGAGAAGTCAGACTGCCCAGGAACCAGGGGCATGCTGGCAGCAGAGGGATACCAAGCAGAACTTACCAGGGAACTGGTAGGTGTAGCCAGGGGCGAGGCCTGTATAACTCCGGCTGGCGTAGGTTGTGGCTTGGAAACCCGGGTAACCTGATGGGGTAAGGGGTCGGTGTCAGATGCCTCATCCACAGGGCGGATCCTTCTCATGGAGAAGGACCTGAGCCACTCATGCCCCCTTGCCTTCCTGCATCCTGAATAATAGCTGTACCTTCCAAATACCTTCATGCCAAGCCCTGTGCTGAGCGCACTGCACACTAGTATCCTGTTAAATTTGCCTTAGAGGTAGGTACTGCTAGGAGCCCCATTTTACAGACAGGAAACTGAGGCTCTGAAAGGTGACACTTTTTGGCTAAGAATAATCCAACGCTGTTTGCACTCTGGCTCCTGCTTCCCTTTGGTCCTCGTCTCCTGCACTCTGCCCCTCTCTCCCTCTGCTCCAGCCACAAATGGCTTCCTTGCTGTTTTTCAGCGTTGCCAAGTTCATTCCCACCTCAGGGCCTTTGCACATGCTGGTGCCTTTGCCTGGAGCACTCTTCCCAGATGACCACATGTCTGAGTGCCTCTCATCGTGCAAGACTCTAAAACGTCTTCCCATAGGAGTCCTCCTTTCCGTCCATTACAAACTCTATCATGTTACCTTGGTTTTTCTCTTAGTACTGATGATCATTATCTGAACTTATAGCATGATTTTTTCTTTTTTTGAGACAGGATCTTGCTCTTTTGCCCAGGATGGAGTGCAGAGTGGCACAATCGTAGGTCACTGCAGCCTCAAACTTCTGGGCTCAAGTGATTCTCCTGCCTCAGCCTCCCCAGTAGCTGTGGCTACAAGGCGTGTGCTACTATGCCTGGCTAATTTTTAATTTGTGTTGTAGAGATGGGGTCTTGCTATGTTGTCCAGGCTGGTCTCCTAGCCTCAAGTCGTCCTTCTGCCTTGTCTGGAATTACAGGCGTGAGCCCCCACACCTGGCCAGAAAGTACTCATGATTTTTTTTTGGTTGGGGGGCGTGAAATACAGATGGGTAGCAATGATTTATTTAAGTGCTGACTTTCTGTCTTCCCTCTTTTTTTTTTTTTTTTTTTTTTT